CGAACGCCGTACCGATTCTTCTTCAATGCAAGCAAAACACAGGCTGAGAATGACACAACTTCCATTCTGGACATTGACCGAGACATATACTCTTCAATACTGAAACCAGGTCTTCGAACAGTTGAGGATAACATTGTGTTACAATATGCGCCGCAGGCAGTGTTTCGAGTGAGACCAGTGTCTCGATGTTCAGCTTCGATATCTGGTCATGGAGAGTCTATTCTGGCAGCTACATTCTCCCCTGCTACTTCATCGCTTCTTGCAACTGGCAGTGGTGACAACACAGCACGGATATGGGACTGTGATACGGGGACACCAAAACATACACTCAAGGGTCATACCTCCTGGGTTTTGGTCGTTTCCTTTTCACCAGACGGCAAGATTCTGGCGACAGGCAGCATGGATAATAGTGTTCGCTTATGGGACGTCAAGACGGGTGAGGCTCTTGGTGGACCACTCAAGGGACACACGAAATGGATCACAAGCCTGTCATGGGAGCCATACCATCAACAAGCTCAGGGAAAGCCGCGGCTCGCGTCTGCGAGCAAAGATGCCACAGTACGAATCTGGGACGTTCCGTTACGACGAGTCGAACAGACACTGAGCGGACACAAGGGAAGCATAACATGCGTGAGGTGGGGTGGCATCAACAGGATATACACAGCTTCACAGGACAAAACGATCAAGGTCTGGAATGCAAAGACTTGGACCTGCCTACATACTTTGACCGCCCATGCCCACTGGGTCAACCACTTAGCCCTCTCGACCGACTTCGTTCTTCGTACCGCCTATCACGATCACTCCTTGAAACTACAAGACACAGCGAGTACAGAAGCAAAGGTAGCACAAGCAAAACAACGCTTCGAGTCAGCTGCACGAGTCAATGGCAAAATCACTGAGCGATTGATATCTGCCTCCGACGATAACACCATCTTCCTTTGGGATCCGTCCTCATTCGACCCAAACTCGAACGCCACGCCGAAACCTGTAGCACGTCTACTCGGCCATCAGAAGCAAGTCAATCACGTCTCCTTCTCGCCGGATGGGCATTACATCGCTTCCGCATCGTTTGATAATAGTGTTAAATTGTGGAACGCAATAGACGGTAAATTCATCACTACATTGCGAGGACATGTCGGCGCCGTGTATATGTGCTGCTGGAGTGCAGATAGCAGATTGCTGGTGAGTGCGAGCAAGGATACGACGGTTAAGGTGTGGGACGTACGGACACAGAAACTCAAGGAGGACTTGCCGGGTCATAAAGATGAGGTCTTCGCAGTGGATTGGAGCGCTGATGGGGCGGCAGTAGGAAGTGGTGGGAAGGACAAGGTCGTCAAGATATGGAAAAACTAGAGTAATTATGTATCGACGTTAACCAACCTCTCACGAAGCTAGTTGTGCACTTGTCTCTCTGAATTCAGTCTAGGTGTAAAAAGGTGCTTAAGAAACCTAGCTTAGACCTTCCTAAGCCAAATTAGACCTAAGATTGGCGAGCTGAGATTCAAACATGCCAACGTCTGTGTAGCTGCCAATTTCTTGACAAGGAGGCCTCCAGAATGAAACATTATTGATCATCACGTTGAAATCTTGGTACTTTAGACTCCGAAACTCCCCTCCTCTCCATAGTGTTCAGAAGGCAGTGGCTTGCAATGACTCATTAGCGCCACATGTAATCGAACAGTAGCCGCTCAGCCTCTCACACTCCCAAATTATGAACCCCTCATCCTGCCCTAACGTTCTCGAAGCCGAGAAGCTCGTTTGTGAAACTTGAGCTTCAACCTCGTTCTTTTGTTCTGACTGGATAAGAAAGACTCGAGACCTCGAGCAACTACCCAATGCGGGGCAGCGTGCGGGATCGTGCACCCTTTATCAGACTGTGCGGCGTACTCCAGAACACCCAACTAATGAGCTGCGTGGTCGCAGACAAATTGAACCTCGCCCTCGCACGTGAATGCGACCTCATTTGCGGTATGCAATTATCCGCAAGTGCTTACCCGAAGGGTGGCCTCGATCGGCCACGAGGTCTTCTGGCTCCAACGAAAGGAAGGAAAATGGGCCAGCCTGATCTGGAATCGGTTTCTGTTGTCACGTTCAGCGCTGACAGGTCACCGTTCTTGTGAAAGTGGTGGCCTGCCCAACTGGGTGCAACGTATTTCTCGGAGCATCTTCTCTTGCAGAATGAGTAGGCTGAACGTAGTAGTTGCTTATCTCGACATTCGGTGAATGCTGTGGTTACTGCTGACCAGTGCAGTCATCTTCCGAACTAGTCTGAAGGTCGAGCGGCTGGCTGACTTTTGGTGACAACTGGCAGAAAGATCCGAGACCTCATGCATGGAAGGAGCAGAACACTTCTCAAGAGCTGAAACGACAAACTTCTGCGAAGATATTTCTTTCAGCCTTGCTACGTTAAAGCATACAACAACCAAAACCAAAGAGATTCACTAATCATGGCAAACATGGCGAGCACTCGGGGTTTTGCGAACACCAAAATCCTCATCATTGGTGGCGGTATCAGTGGTATGGCCATGGCGATTGCGCTGACTACTAGTTACAATATCAAAGACATTGTCATTGTAGAGAAGAGCAGTGGATTTGGTGGTACTTGGAGAGACAACATCTATCCTGGCGCCGCTTGCGATGTCTTCAGCTCATTGTACTCTTTCTCCTTTGCACAGAAATTCGATTTTACAAGGTCTTTACCAGGTCAAGAAGAGCTTCTGGTAAGGCCCGCATCACTTCCTTCGTTCAAGTGCTGATTTGTGCAGGAATATCTCACAGACGTAGCGCAGGAGTACAAGCTGTACCAGATTGCGCGTTTCAACAGCTCGGTGCGGCAGATGGAGTGGAATAATGCTGAGATGAAATGGCATACCACGATCAGCGTGGACGGAGGCAAAGACGCGGAGTATGGCAATTCTTATGAGATCGTCAGCGACTTCGTCATCTCAGCAATTGGTCAACTGTGTAAGCCGAAGGGATTTGACATACCTGGTCTTTCGGATTTTCACGGCAAGGTTATGCACTCTGCTCGCTGGGATAGAGGTTTCGACATCGCGAATAAGAGGGTAGCGATCGTCGGCACAGGTAAGTGGATTGAGTTTGCGACTTGTATCTTGCTAACCTCAGCAGGCGCAACTGCAGCGCAAATCGTTCCCGAAATCGCCAAATCCACAGCGCATTTGACAGTGTGTCAAAGAACCCCAGGTTTCGTTATACCCCGTCATGATCAGGAACTACCTCAGTGGGAGCGTTTGCTGCGATTCTACTTCCCTCCACTTAGAAGCCGCATCCGAGCAGAAGCCATGAATTTCCGTGAGCTGTTCCATAGCGCTGTCACGCAAGCCGATTCACCATATGCCGCACTCATGCGCAAGATGAACGACGGTCTTCTGCAGAAACAGCTTGGCCATCGACCTGACCTGCAGGAGAAGGTCAAACCACGGTACAACCCTGGCTGCAAAAGGACCGTCATTAGTAATGATTATTACCCAACCCTGGCACGCGATAACGTCGACCTTGAGACAGCCAAGATTGAACGCATCACTGAGAATGGCATCAAGTTTGAAGGTGCCGACCAGGTCAAGGAGATTGACGTGTTGATATTGGCGACCGGATTTGATACATTTAATTTCCTTGGAGGCCTCCAGATCAGCGGTATAAATGGTCAGAAGCTCGAGGATATATGGCCGGAGGGTGTGGCGAAGGCATTGAAGGGCATCATGATACCAAACATCCCAAACTTTGGAATGCTGTACGGTCCCAACACTAATCTCAGCCACAATTCTCTTATACTAGTGATCGAGGCCCAGGCACGTTGTCTCGCAGCCATGATCAACACCATCTACAGTGTTCGCGAGGCCGAGGGCGGTTCGTTAGCAGTATGGCCTAAGAAGGAGGTGACCGAGCGATATTGGGAAAAGCTTCAGGAAAAGCTTCAAAATACAAGCTTCGCAGATCCTGATTGCACTAGCTGGTGGAGACGTCACGATGGAACAATCGTGAACAATTGGCCTGGAACTGCGATCGATTATCAGCGGCTTCTAGAAGAAATCAAATGGGACGATTTCGACGCTGCAGGCACAGCGGCCAAGAAGTTCAACGAGGAGATCAGCAAAAAGAGTACTCAAAATGTGCCGCGTGTGGTGGAGGAAGCATGGTTGAGTCGCGGTGCATTAACAGCTATGGCACTCGCTGGGCTTGCTGGGGGTGTCATTCTGCACCGTGTTTGGAGGCATTTTGGCCCGCTCCGAATGGGATAGACCGTTTCCTTCTGTGATATAGCTATCAATCTTGGCATTTGTGTACTGTGGTCAAGGCCAACGGTGGGGATGGGGTAACGCATTCACAGGCCATCTTTCGGCTTCGAGGGACGTAGCGTACGAACTTGGATGTTTTTCATCAACTGCTTGCATGACTCTGAGCTAGGGTCGAGACAGATCGCATGACTGGCAATCATGTACCGCTATCTACCTGTCCTGTGTAGAAGTCAAAATCTGTGAACAGTGGCCAAGACGGCCTGCTTGCTAAGTATCATCTCGTGCTTGACTGAAGTGCAGGCGAATGAGGATCCTTCTGTCAGGCAGTCGGATGCACCTTTCCTATTGTGTCTTTGCTATATGACGCTTGACACTTCATGACAGAAGAGAGACAGTTCTTTACGCAGGACAATACACAAATAATACCCAAACTCTGTTCGTAATCTCACACCTTCTTTCGTTATGGACGTAGCATGTCTTAGCTGAAAGCAGAAACCAGATTGGAGAGATCCATCACGGAGGCGGAGGCGACATTTCGACAAGATTAAACAAACCTATCTATGAAAGAGCACAATCCGTAATCAAAGCCTTCGCGGTAGGAAAGCTGTGCCAGGCTCAATCCCTAATATCCCGACAATTCCGTCCCAAAAGTAGATTCTCGTCTGCCAAGCTCTCAATGGCCCACCCATGATCACTCCCATGATGCAAAAACAAGAAAAGAAAGCAAAAAAAAGAATTTTATGTCTCTCCCTCGGGGAATCGAACCCCGGTCTCCCGCGCTTGAAATCGCTGTTGCGAATTTGACAAGCGGAAATCATGACCACTAGACCAAGGAAGATGACTGAACAGCTAGTGGGCTAGCTGCCTTGGTGGTTGTTGAAAGAAGTTTCACAGCCATACAACATATAGTTATCGTGGCGGAGCCGAACGGGTTTTCTCGGGCAGAAAACAAGGCTAGCGAAATGGAATGCCGAGCTGAACATCCAATTCGAAACTTTGGATGATCTGGCGTTCCCTAGACAAAAGAGCTTTAAGTCCTAGCACTTTCAGGTGGGCAATTTAAAAAACTACTATGGAGCAGAATTAGGAGTCGTGGAACTACATCTCGATGCTCTACTATTAACATCATTATCGTTCTTTCGGCGAAATACATCCAATTCGGACAAACACTCTGGATATGTGAACATGCTCAGCGGCTCACACCTATTCCCCGAATTACAATGTCTGAAACGAGCTCGCCCGATGCATCGAGAACAGATTTTCAATTCGAATTCTGCGAGTTAATCTCACAGAAGTCAAAGACTGGGATAACGGAAATTAGAGACTAAGATAACAGAAAGCAGAGACTGAGATGACGGAAGTCAAAGACTCAGGTAAACGAAGTTAAAAATTTACGTTGATTCTTCAACTCTCCAGGCGGGTTCGAGGTCTGTTTGCATTCGGTTAGCTTTCCATACCGTGTCGAGCCAGTTTCGAGTTAGTTTATATCAAAGTTATCCCTTTTCTCGATCTCGACATTCTAACACCTTCGAAGCTTCTAAGCAAAGACTTGAAAGCAGATACTAAACCCGTATCTCGGTAAAACGAGCACTATTTATGCCCCAATATCATAGATCTCATACTGTTATCACCTAAAATCATTCGCAAAAGTGGTGTGAAAATCGTGTATGTTAGTGTGATCTGACATCCGTCAGCATACTTTTTTACGGACTGTACATTGATTCTGGCAAGCTTCTAGTCTGAAATGTGGCGTTTTTAGTGTTGCAGCACTTTGCATATTTGCTGCCCAAAGAACAAGGCCTGGAGGGTGACACAAGACGGCAATAGGCTCAAGCTCGAACCATGTTCGTGCGAGATAAGGTTCATGGGAGTACAAAGGACGAATGGCAAAAGTGGAGATATCAGGAAGAGGTGCACTCAGGTCGAATATATGCTCATTAGAAATATTACCTACCAATGGAGTACCCCTGTCCAACAAACTTTCAGCTCCAAACAAGAACAGTATCAGATGTAGAACCCCTCTGATCGAGGGTCTCAACACCACTGGTCCTTCCAGAATTCCTGCCCATGATACGTTTCTAGCGTCGCCGCATCGCCTTTGCACCACCCGATTTGCTCGTTACCTTCGATGAAGTCGTAGTCGCGGCTGCAGCACTCCTAGTCTTAACCGCATAACCCTTTCTCGCGTTGCTCTCAGGAATGGCTTCCACTTCTACCTCCCTTTCTCGCTCATCATCATGACGGTGAGAATGGCGGGATCGCCGGTCTTGATAGGATCCATCTGAGTCGGAGTTGCTTCGTGATGGAACCATGTAGCTCATAACCTCAGGGTCATCCGGGAGGAATAGCTCGTCCGAGGGGCGGCGTTGGGTAGATGCTGAAGGACCTGACACAACGCGTCTTGAGGGTGAACCATATCGTGGATCAGCAGGATCGAAGCGTGGCGCGCGGCTTGCGTGTGTAGGGTTTGGCAGCTGGTCGAGAGGGTAGCTCCTCTGGTTCACGTTGGAGTTGGAACGTGAGCGAGGACGGTGGCCTGTGTCAGCTGCGTGAGACGGGTCGAGCCTGGAGTGCTTGCTTGATGTTGGGCCTGGTTCCGTGCGTTTGTGGTAAGGCCCCTCAGGCATTGACACGTAGCGGGTGGAGTTGGGGTAGTAGGGTGCAAAGATGGGTGCTGGCAGCTGGCGAACGTTTTGTGAGGAGTTGGTACGAGAGCGTTGTCGAAGGGGACTGCCTTGGTAGCTTGAGCGGGAGCTGGCATGAGGTCGACCAACATATCCACTGTCCGGTTCTTGTGGAATCTGGTAAGTAACCAGATCATCTTCTTGTGTTGATCTGGCAGAAGCATTGCTGTGGTTCCTAACTCTTCCTGCCACCGTTTTAGCTTTGGGTGAGTCAGGTCGTTTCTTCTTGGCTGGCTCGATCGCCTTCAGCTTGGTTGTCTTCTTGCCAACTGGTGAAGGTTTTGGAGCTGCAGTAATCTTGGCTTGCTGCTGCTGCTGTTGTCTTGCTTGCTCCACTCGATCCAAAGCATCAATTTCAGCTTGACTCAACTTGATATTGGTTTTGCCCAAAGCCCTAGCACGTGCTATTCGGTTCAATGCTTTTGCCACCAAGTCCTCTTCACTCTCGGCGTGCGGACTTTGACTACTGTCCCTCCTTTGCAGTGGATAATCTTGGTCCCGCTGATGGTAATTGTCCTCGGCCTCAAAGTCCGAACCATCATAGTAGTGGCCGTCAGAACGCCCCCGTCTCCTATAATGCATGTTGTAATCTGGATCATCATATAACAGTTCGTCAGAATGAAAACGTCTATCCATGTATGCACGACGCGGGTCTCCTCGTGGATCTCCTCGTGGGTCTCCTCGCGGGTCCCCACGCCAATCTCCATGAAGATAATCCTCATCGGCGGTATCAATCTCTTCAATTCGTTCACTATCGTTCCACGACTGGCGCACACCATATGCACCACTTCTGTCTCTCCCCAGTCGTGCCCCTGGTGGTCTTCCCCATTGGGGCACATCGTAAGGAGTTCGCGGCCGACCACCTAGACCGCCTCCTCGGAAAAAGCATTCTCGATAGGTCTGTCCATGAGAGAGGCATGACCAAGAATAGTCACACCACTTGCACCAACCAGCCACAAGAATGTACTGAAGGGACTTGCGATAAACGCAACGGGAATACCAACACACGCAACACCAGTGTAGAGTTGGGAAGTTGTAGCCCTGAATGTTCCGATCTCCAGATCTCTTCCCTGGAGTCGGCCAATGATCCACATGCTGACAGAAACAAAGATTATGTCGAACAGTAACCATGGATTGGTGAGGAGGGCGTAGATGGAGAGCATGACGAAGACAACGGCATAGTTGCTGGAGAAGTAGCTCAAATTGTAATTGACTCTTGCCTGAACATCGGCGAAGTCTCGTGGCTTGGACAATCTTCTGAGGTCGAGAAACTCTCCTATCGGCTTCAAGTTCGAAAAGCGTTGGGCAAGGGATTGCGATCGAACGCTGCTGAATCGCTCAGACAGGTTGAGACGGGACGTAATAACGTCGATAGGGATGCTGATTCGAGACATCTTTGCAGGTGATTGCTTCTGTCGGTATGGGGTGGGAAAGGTCGAAGTCGTTTGCTGTATCGGGTCAGTCAAATGTCTTGCTCATGGAACAGAAATGGGGCACAAGCAACCTACGAGGGTTTAGTAGTCGAGGTGTAATCGGCTCTTGTTGGAGTAGTTGGAAGTAATAACGCTGGAAAGAGTGCTTTGAAGTAAGACGCAAATGTGTTCCCAGGCAACAGACAAAAAAGTGTATACGAGTCCGAGTTCAACAAGTGTCTTTCAGATGCAGGAGCGCTGGCTTAGGTTTAGGGTGTCGCGGGCGAGAAGTTTTTGGAGTGGGCGTGCCCCTGTCTTTCGAGTTGGGATCGGCCAAAAATAGTCGGAAAGTCGAGGCTTCAGGGTCAAGTATCAGCCACCGAGCTGATTCAGCTTGAGCCACAGAAAAATTTCGACCTGGGCGAATCGTGTTCGAAAATCGAGTGGTGACAGAGTGTCTGGTTGTGTGTTTCAGGCAGGAGCAAAGTTAACACCTTACTCCCACACTGCCTCGTGCCTGCCAACTGCAGGCTCAAGGTATCACGTCCATCTTCACCACAACGTCTGGACAAACAGGACAAGGAAAGAAAGGAAAACCAGATCGGCGGGGGTGAAGTGCTTTTATCTGCTTTTCCGTCAGCAGCAGACAGCATTTCTCACTACTGCATATCTTACAGCGCACACCCGCTTGGTTCGCTTGGGAGACTTCCCGCCTTGCATTGACCTACCCAAACTTGCATTCAGCTTCGCCAAAAAGTGAAAATAACCCCATTCAAGCTGCATAACCGTCGACTATCATTGCATGCCTCACTTACTGCCTACACCATCTGCCGGAATTTTCCAACTACGAACAGCATTCCTCCATCATTCCATCCTTGCATCTGGCGATAACCCTGTTTACGCTGCAAGATGCGGGTTCACCCTTTCCAACAATTCCTGCTTTTATGCTGCCTAATACTGCTGGTTCAGTGTTGGACCAAAGAAGACCACGAAATTTTTCGCTTGCGTGATGAGGTCGAAGCCTCCGAAGGCCAAGGGGTCACATTCTACGACTTCATTGGTGTTCAGTCATCAGCAACATGGGACGACATCAACAAAGCCTTCCGAAAGAAGTCAAGATCTATACACCCTGACAAAGCAAGACAGAATTTTGTTACCTCCAAGTCGACTAGACCGCCGAAGAAGGCAGGGGAGAAGAGAAAGCCAGGGGTACATGTCTCGAAGGGACCTTCCCAGCGAGAGTTGGACAAGTTCATGAAACAAGCCAATGAAAGATACAGCCGGCTCGGCGTCGTTGCCAACGTGCTCAAAGGTGAACAACGAGACCGCTACGATCACTTCCTACGACATGGCTTTCCGACATGGCGAGGTACTGGCTACTATTATACTCGATATCGACCCGGTCTAGGCACTGTCTTGGTAGGGTTGTTCATTGCAGGAGGAGGGATTGCTCACTACTATGCTTTGAGGATCAGCTACAATAGTCAACGCAAGTTCATGGAGAAATACATCAGAGGTGCTCGCAAGTCTGCGTGGGGTAATGATGCTGGTATTGCAGGTATGGCAAGCGTGGCTTCCGGCCCTGTTGATGTGCCTCCAGCACAGGAAGAACCAGACCCATTTGCGAATCTCAATCGACGTCAAAAGCGAGAAATGGAAAAGCAAAACAAAAAGGATAAATCCAAACCAGCAGCTAAGCCGTCCGCAGGCAGAGTACTGGGCACAGGCGAGTCCATTCCTGC